CCCCCCCCCCCACCTCTCTCCTCCATTTGTTGTCTATTCGTTCAAGTAGCTTTCTTTTATACACACCGCAGCTCGCTTCTCGGGAACGCTTCACCTGTTTCGTTTTCCTTTAGTCTTTACCTTTGTGCTGTTGTTTTGTTAGCAAGTTTGAATGTTATGAAAGATTGCCGTCCTGATTGGGAAGGTCTGCCAGTCCTCTAACCTCGGCATCCAATTCATCATGTTGTTTGAGCTGTAGTTCCTCTGTGTGACCGGAGGTCTTTGATGGGAGTCTTTCGGCTTTCAGAGACCTCTGCTCTGCGCACTCCTTTAGCATGAGAGATGTGCCCTGAAAAAGAATTGATAGATCAGCCAGGATGTGCATGGATATTATTACCTAATTCCAGATGGCCGTTCTGATGGCAACAAATGGCCTTGCCGTACCAACCCCACTGAGACGAAAACATTAGACGTGCAAGTACAAATTTCTCCTGGCACAGCCGCAGAAATGAAATTAAGCGGATCTTTGATGCACGAACAATGAGCGCTTTGACGAATAACTCAGCTCGAACCTTCATTACCCCAGCACCCTTGGATTTGGAGTGCATTCGCCAGAGTTGCCGTGACCTTGGCGTGACATTAAAGCAGCGTAGGGGAAACAGAACCGGGTTACGAGGGCCGTGACCTGACTGACTGTGCTATGCCGTGTTGCTCCACAGGAGGTGATGCAGATGGAAAGACAGCTGGGAGGTCGACTGATTGACGAGCCTCACGTCCTGCTCTTCAAAGACAGCTACCATAACCTGCGCCTCTCGATTCACGACATGCCCCAGGCACACTGGAGGAGCAAACTGCTCGCCGGCTATCAGGTGGGTTTCTATAAAACACCTTCTCTCTTGCAGCAGCACTTCTTGTATTAATGGTGTTTGCTACAGTGAGCTCCTCTATTGTTAGCGCTAATACTTGGGATTATCGGTTTTCCAAAACCCATAACCTCAAATATTAAATGTATTAAACATTAAATATAAAAAAGGCCTGGAAGATGATAAATATACTCTCAGAAAAAAAGGTACTAATAATGTCACTGAGGTGAAACCCTTTCAAAATGTACACACTAACAAAAAGTACATATTAGTACCTACATATAAGAGGGCTTTTCTATTTGAAACAGTTAAAGGTGGATTAGGCAGTTTACTGTACGCACTACTAGTGTCACCAGAACTACAAATATAAAGCATGTTTTCAAATAACCTTTGCAAATATCCCTTTTACGCGTCACGCCTCCGCCTCTTATGAGTCTATAAAAGTGGAGGTATGTCTCAACGGGTAAAAGTAGATGATTAGACTACTATTTTCAATAAAAGGTCCATCATACAATACTTTTAGCTTCAAGTTTAGCTTACCTGTTGAGATCAAAGTTCGTCATATCAATTGAAACCAAAAACATTTAATCCGACCAAATGTCTGACTGATTGAATGCAATGATTGGACGAACATTTTATGGCCCTGAGCCTTTCACAGAAGATATATACATATACATGTCTATATATGTGTATATATGTATATATATATACATATATAGACCACTTTATTGATGCCAGACCTTTTAACCAGTATAACAATAATGTTTCTGGAAAAATTACCTACCATATCCTTAATCCTGGGTCATTATAAACCCAGGGAAGGCTGAATCCAGGGTTATCTTGCTTAATATTACACATTGTTCATAATCTACCTGGGGGTTAAAAATTGATCATGTACTGTAAATGGGTTTTCTGTCACCATTTGACAAATTTTGCCTCATGACTGTTTATACAATGTACAGTTTTCTGTGACTGTCTAAAGCATGTGAACATGAGGCACGTGATTGGCTGTCTGTTACTAAGCATCTAATCATAGCATTCTAACACCACATCGTTTCACACTGTGCATGTTTGGCACCACAATGTGGGGTTAACAGCGCAAAAGCAGTGCTAAGCCTGCTCTGGATGGTAAATAATAATACCTTTTGAAAGAGTACCCATTGACAGCTTTTGTACCTTTTTTTACTTAGAGTGTAGGCAAATAAATTCATATTTAGAGAAGCAATCGCTCAAAGTCCTAGCAACCACATAACGACACCCTAGCAACCGCCCAAATTGTTCTGGCATTGTGACAAGAAGTCAAGGGTAAAGTAGCTGCAAAATGTTTCCCTCTGTTTGAAATTCTTTGCCTCTATAACGTGTACTGCGGATGTTATGTTTGTCTTTTTGATCTTTGTTGTCAAAGTCTTTTCGGAGCGTAATTGAATGAGTTAAGAGTTAGTTAGCCAAGTTATTTTTTCTTGGGGGCAAATTTGAAGTGCTGTGCTCTGTGGCTGCTCTGAGCTTTCTAACAGGGTGTGTGATCTGGTATGTCCTCCGGATTGCTGTAATTGGAAATTTCTTTGGTTTCGCCTCATTAGAGTATTTCTGAACGTACGGGAATGCTAAAGAAGCCCATTATAGAGTGAATTGGCGAGCAGGGACCCTAGAACGTCTGCTCTTAATAACATGCACGGCCTTGGCTACGAGTTAACAGCTTCTTGGGTAAAGAAGGATTGAGAGCGCTGCAGTTTTCTCAAACGTCTTCCTCACCCGCTCTGCCCATCTCAGGACTCTTTCCCACTGGAGGAGATTAAATATAGACCAATATGTAAATGCTCGAGGCTGCAACACCTGATTTATCTTGTATTTCTCTTCCTGGATCATGTATGCTGGGCCTCAGAGGAACGTCTCTGGATTCTGGAGGAATCTTGGCGTAAAAAGCTCCTCCGAGGATTTGGAGATGCCAGCTAACAGTGTTACAGCACAAATGTGCATAGAGGAAACATTTTCTCACCTGAACGTCCCCTATTTTTTAGATAAGTATGTTGCTTGGCTGGTTTTTTCAGTCTGTGTAACAGCTCCCCCATTTGAGTGAACTGAGATACTGCATATTCACTAATAACGCTGCCTTTTATTGATTTGCAGTTTGATTGGTTCATGATTGATGTGTAGTCTTAAATAACGTGCGCTTATCTTTGTTTTTTGTATTGCTCTTCACAATTAATTAGACGTATGAGACGAGAGCATGTTATAAAACTAAATAATTAGTCTAATCAGACTGTCACGCTGAACGTGTTGTATTTGACGGACTAAATGTATTGTTTTAATAAGTGTTCTTATTTTATTTGTCTGTGGATATGCAGGCATATCTGCTCTATCTACTGAATTGTGCTCATTCATAAATTAAATCCAAATCCCCGGTTGTGAACAATTAGCTTTTAAAGACGTTCTGCTGTTGTCAGAGACAAAGAAACTATTTTGCTGCTTCGTTTGAAAATGTTGCCAACAATAGATTTAGAAGAGCTTTCATAGACTCGCACCGGCAGCCACAGCATCATAAATCATCAGGTGTTGGACTTTTTCTTTGTCTGTGTCTCTTACTGACCATCAAATTCAGCTGGATCTATTGTTTGCAAGTGGTGAACTTTTAATGAAAAGGAAGCGGTGTATTATCTACCAAGTGACAGAATACTTCTCTTTAGTTAATTTATGTCACATGCAAAGTTTGCCAAACGTTGCCAAAATGAGGAAACTTTTGCATAATTCATGTGTTGAAAAAATTTAGCTGCATTCTCCTACGGCACTGAAATGTGGAAATGCATAAATATTTCACTTTATATTTGTAGACTTTGGGGAAAATAAATTCTAAATAAAATAAATTATATGTAGTGTAAAAGTGTTACTCTAAAATACACTGCTACAGCCTAAAAAATGACTCATAATTTTGATTTTATTGCTGGTTGGACTTATGTTTTTGAAACAATCAGTTCTGACAAGAGTAGATTTCAGAAGTGATTTGTTATGGACAGCAACAATTCAGTGTGACATGTCTTTGGCCCTTTAGGAGATCCCGTTCTATCACATCTGGAGCGGCTCTCAGCGGACCCTGCACTGCACCTTCACACTGGAGAGACAGAGCCTGAGCACCTGTGATCTCACCTGCAAGCTGTGTGTGTGGCAGGTAGAAGGAGAAGGACAAAGCTTCACCCTGGACTTCAACATCTCGAAGGTAACTGAGACCATCTGCAGTATGATATGCCAGTAAACAGTAGAGATTAGTATTATTAAAGCTCCTTCAGTGAGAATTGGAATTTGGAATTGAAATGATTTGATGTTGTATTGTGAGATTATTACACCTAAGATTCTTTTTTGACATTATCCAAAACCTTGGTCAGTTGATTTGGATTTAGAACAGAATTTAAATAGACTTGATACTGTGGTCTGCACATATGCATGTAACACATGCACATACAGTTGTGCTCATAAGTTTACATAGCCCTTGCAGAATGTGCAAAATGTTAATAATTGAAAAAAAATAAGAGGGATCATGAAAATTGCATGTTATTTTTTATTTAGTACTGTCCTGAATAAGCTATTTCACATAACATATGTTTACATATACGTACTCCACAAGACAAAATAATAACTGAATTTATAAAAATAACCCCATTCGACGGTTTACATACCCTTGAATCGTAATACTATATGTCATTTCCTGAATGATCCACGACTGTTTTTATATTTTGTGATAGTTGTTCCTTGTTTGTCCTGAGCAGTTCAACTGCCTGCTGTTCTTCAGAAAAATCCCCCAGCTCCTGCACATTCTTTGGTTTTCCAGCATCTTCTGCATATTTGAAGCCTTTCCAACATTGACTGTATGATTTTGAAATCCATCTTTTAACACTGAGGACAATTGAGGGACTCGTGCATAACTTAGATTATAAATTAGATTTTGAATTTGAACAAACGGTGAAAACATGTACTGATGCTCAAGAAGGCCACACAATGCATTAAGAGCTGGGGGGTGCAACCTTTTTTTAATTGGATGATCAGGGTAAATTGTACTTATGTCTTCTGGGAAACATGTGAGTATTTATGTAGCTTCTGAAGTTCAGTACTAAATGAAAACATAAGATCGTTAAACAAAATGAGAAGAATTTACACCATGCAATTTTCATGATCCCTCTTAGTTTGTTTCAATTATTAACATTTTGCACATTCTGCAAAGGGTATGTAAACTTATAAGCAGAATTGTATATTAATTTTATATTATAATTAGAATTTGGAGTTTTAATGTGAACTGAATGTGAATTGAAATGTAGTCTACACATGCATATTTTAAATATTTCTCAAAAACTTTTGAATGTCTCATACTACTAACTATTTTCCAAACCGATTCTGCTGCAAACAATTAGATTTTGAATTTGGTTTATAATAAGAATTGAAAATGATTTGGGAATTTAAATGTCACTTAAATTCCAATTAGTTCATTTAAAATATAAATGAGCACATAGAAATTTATTTTCTTCTTCTTTTTTTAAATATTCTCCAAAATCTAGCTCAGCTAACTTGGATTGATTAATTCATTCATTCATTCATTTCAATAAATGTAATAGACTTGGTACTGTGGTCCGCACGCAGAATGTTTATGAATTACAGTCAGAATTTGGAATTTAATGTGAGCCGAATGTGAATGTGAATTGAACTGTAGTCTACTCATGCATCTTTTAACCATTTCTCATAAACCTTTTGAATTCAGTTCAATTTAATTCTCACATTCTGCTAAATTATTTTCCAAACTTATTCTCATGCAAATGCAGATCTTCTCCATAGATCTTCCGATTAAAGTCTCTGTGCAGTTGGAATGAGTAACATATGAGGCTGAAATGTTCTTGACTCCAGGACATCAGACCACTGGACTCTGATTTCCTGTTAATGGACAACTGCACCCCTGCCCTGGCTGGTCCGAGTGCATTCCAGATCCCTTACCTCATCCGACAGAAGATCTGCAGCAGTCTGGACACCCCCTGTCCCAATGGAGCAGATTGGAGACTACTGGCCCAGAGACTGAAGCTTGACAGGTAAGATCTCTCAGTGCTAGAAGTTATTATCTCTTAGGTCTGGAATGGATCCTGTTTAACAAAATCTCAGGATTCTTGTTGTGGGTTGTGGAAACTGTTGTTTTGCAGAGTGCTGATATCTAGAGCAGATTGTGCGGTTCTCCACTTGCATATTAAATATAAACTTCCACAGGAAATTACAAGGCAGTGATTTAATTACTGTCCCATTGAACTTCCTCCAGGTAATGGAACATAATGGGCAGACTTCATTTGTCCAATAATGTTTACTTGCTCCAATTAATTACAATTTGAAGTGTTGTGGTGTGTGTTCAATTAGCACACTAGCCCAAAACGATCGATTGTCATTTACCTAGTTAAGGAAAAGCACAGAATCCACACAGGTGGAAATGTGCTTAACGTTTTTTTTTTACTGAAAACACTGTCCTCAGAAAATGTTTTAAGACTTGAAAGCAGCACTAATAGTGAATACAACCCCGACTGTAAACCTTTTCTCACTGAGAACAGAGAGCATGTAGAAAACAACACTTAAAGCCCCAGGCATTTGAGGTACAGAAAAAGGCCGTTAGATCGAACAACCCACTTCAGCTTCCTTCGGGAGATGCATCTCGCAACATCTAATACGCTGCAAAAAGGGGTTGCTTTGTTCTTATTGATCAGCTTTGATCCGAAAGGTTCAGCCTGGTCAATGGAAAAGGTCACATGCAACCTGGGTTTTACCCTTTTAGAGGACTGAGGCCCACAGTAGATAATTCATCAAATGAAAATGCAGGGCTGCTTTAGTTCAGGAGTTAACAAAAGGGTGTAAAGCACGTGTTCGGAAGAACTGAGCGTTTGTGCATTGGTTTAGTATATTGGAATGGATAATACTGTTTTATATTCCTCCATGGAACAACTATGTCCAGCTAATGTGTCTCTCTGGACCAGCATGCATGGATTTTCTACTCTCACTTTGAATGGAGTGCCAGAGAGGTTGATGTATTGGTTTAAGATAAGCTTCTTGATGTTTTATTTCATTTCAGGGAGTAATAAATTATGACTCTCCTGCAATCCTGATTTACTTCTCACAATGAAACAAACCATGCATTTTGAAGCATATTCCTTGCATTTCTAATATAGTTTATTTATTGTATCTGGTTATAAAGGAAAAGCATAAGGCTATAACTGAGTGAATCTCACTGAAAATGTCCAGATCATATTTCACCTTAAAATTAAAATATTGTGTGTGTGTGTGTGTGTGTGAGTGTGTGTGTGATTTGCATAAAGACAACAAGAATATTTATTCATTTATTTTTGGTGTTTATTTTTTTATATTCGATTTAGTGCAACAAATGCTATCATGCTATTATTTTGCAATTTAAATAATTGCAAAATTGTCTCATTAGCACTGTCATTACAATAATGTTTAATTTGTTAGCACTAGTATTAACTAATGAGTAACATAGGTTAACATGAACTAACAATGAACAATACCTCTAAAGCATTTATGTATCTTATCTAATGTTAATCCAAACATCTCCTAACACATTTTTTAAGATAAAAAATTCTGTTTACATTGGCATTAGTTAAAGGTGCAAAAGGAGATCTTGGAAAATGCTAACTTTAGCCTGATAGCACTGAAAGCGAACCTGATAGTCCCACCCTCCCTGCAATCGCTGTCCAAAGCCACGCCCCCTGACAGCGGTAATCTCAATCAGCTCGCCGCTGTGATGGCTGAGATTGGCAAGCAGGAGGCCATGATATTCCTGGTGTCAGACGGGGAGTGCTGACACATTAAAACTCTGAGTGATGGGGTGGGGGAAGGACACGACCCTCTGCCCGCCCCACCATAGATGAGAAACAAATCAAAGAACAGGGTTTACCCAACTATATGAGGCCACTTCCCCAGTGAATAGGGAATAAAAGAAAAATAAAACAAGACCAGGCTCAGGAGGAACCTGGCAGGGCTTTTAGATGTACTGTGACTGAGACAAATGCCTCTTTCTCAGAACAAAAATCCATTTGTTTTGAAAATAATGGTGTATAGAAAATCCCAGATTCTATGATTCTGGTCCTGCCCTCAATCACTGACCAATATGTACTTTCTAACCACATTTGTGTTAGGCACATTGATATATTAATATCAGACTGGAAACTAAAAACGAATCGGTTTGAAAGACGTACGCTATGTAGGTAAGGTGAATATTTTGCGAACTTATTCAGATTTGTGACATGCATTTTGTAAATGTGTACCATTTAGCAATATGCAAACACGCATATCGATGACAATTTCCTTTGGCCGACACGTTTCTTACCTCACAAAGCATTTACAATTTTAGAGCGTTTGCTAAATTTCAGGGCGAAAACATATTAAGGAAGTAAAGCATTTTTGGTGAGAGCCATCACTTGTTCCTCTGCCCCTGTGCACTTAACGTGTGTGTTCATGAAGCCATAAAGTCCAAAATTCACCTCAATGCAATGATATATGTTCTGATCCGGGTGGATAATTAGTAAATAAGCACAGGATTCTGTGGATGTCTAGCTGCTGAAGGATGGGTGATCAGGGACCTCAAACGTTTTCCTAGCTGTTTTGAAGAACATTGGACTTTTGAGAATAGGGGTCAGAAGTTCTGCAAAGCATTTTTCCATGGCCATCTTATGTCAATGGAACCCTTTCGAGACTAGAATTCTCATCTGAGTCCATAGAATTCCTCGTTTACGAAGGAGAAAAAAAAAGTTTTCTTCTTTTATAAACAGAAAATGCAATACTACCAAATGTTTCATTGCTATTCTCCTTCATATTTAATGAGTCTATGTTTCTCTGAAAGCCATTTTGGCTTCAGGGCAGTTTCTTAGTCGTAGGAGAGAGAATATTTTCATCACCCCCCAAAAAGCAAATGTTCCATCCAAGAAAACTTCATCGACACTCAGCAGCTGTCGTATTTTTCTAAATTCCTCCATCACACGTGTGCTTTGTTTCTGCATAACTGTCAGACCCTGTAGAACGGCAACACATCTCAGCCCTGCGTTTGGCGCCGTGAATGTGCATTACACAGTTTGAAGATTGTCAGATTATTTTTTCGTGCGTGTTTGAATGTGAGAGTATTTCATTCCAAATGAAGGATGATTGGTGAGAAACTGTGGATCACAAATTGGCCGCTTTCATCTCGACCAGTAGTGACGGCCACGTCTGGAGATGATTGGAGGAGTCCTGCACGTTCTCTCCACAGCAAGAGGAATTACACAGGCCTGTTTCACTCAGCTAACAGAACTCAAGTTAAAGGCCAAATTGTGCACACAATGTCTTTTTTACCTTCCTTAAGGTTTCACTTGGTGATTTCTGTTACACGATTAACCAGTCAGCTATTTTCTTTTCTTTGTTTTTAATCTACAAAAGTCATCATGTCTTGTAGATAAGTACATTTCATGTGACGCATCTCTGCGCAACCGAAGTGTATGAGCCATCTGGAGCATTTCTTTCATATCTATGCCGATTGTGATTACATTTTTTGGGAGTACACGTAGTAACACGTTCCTACATTCAACATGCATCTATTTTTCTTTCAAGATCTCATGACTTGTGCAAACTTGTTCATTTTGAGCATTTCACTGGTAAAACAATTTAAATATACAGCACTTTGTAAAGTAATTGTAAATTAAATTTTAATAACAAGCCAAAAAAGACAAGTCAACTGACGTAACATTTGTCAAAGTATAACCTGTGAAGTGTTTGCCTACTGTTCATTGGTTATATAGCACTGAGTTCATTCTTTCTGCAGTGTTTGCGGTTTAGACTGTTTTCTCCATAAGTTTGTACACCGTCGTTTTGTTTCGTCCTGAGGCTGTTGGTTTATGGGTAATCGATCCTCAACACTACGTCATGAGAAAACAGATGCACCAGTAAATGATACTTCTGTCAGAGTATTTAGACAAGGACTTGGTGCAAAATTGACAAATTCCTAACACTCAGGTTTACAAACGGTTCAGTTGAAACAGACACATTACGCATTTCTAAACATTACTGAGTGCGCAACGGATTGCTCATCAATGTTGTTCTTTTTCACTGACATAAAAATCATTCGTTCTGAGCTCACAAAGTCAGCTTGTAACACTGAATAAAGCAGATGCCATGATATTCACTAAAAGAACCACCGATCTCTCTTTATGACTGTACATTTTGTCAGCCTCATTCATAGCTGTTCTGTGTAAATGAATGTGTGAGTGTGCTATTTCTTTCTTTTTGAACTGAAAACCGTAGAATTGTGTACCTGTGAATGTTCAATTCGATTTCTTAATTCAATGTTCCTTGCCTTTCTGCAAGTCGAAATGCTGTATTTATTACATGCCACAGCGCTTATGCAATTGTACAATTCTTTTCTATTATTCTTTTTTTTTGGTAAAGTTACTTTTCATTTTTCTCGTCAATGTAAATTGTCGTCGATGAGTTTGTGGTAATAGAAAGCCCTCTTCTGCAGAAGGTTTTCTGTACTTTTTGGACAATGGTATGGATTTGTGGGTAGAATTTTGGAAATTCGTTTCTAAGTGCTTTCAAGTATTTACTTGGCCTTATGTATATATCTCTCTATAAAATTTCAGAAAAGGTATGTATAGTAATTGAACCTAAAATGGATGTAAATAAATTATATATTGTTAAAAGAGAGTTGAGTGATTTGTGCTCGCAACATCTACAATATTTCATGACACATTTTACGTTTGGAGCCAATTAGTAGCTTTGGGAATAACCCAATTTCACCACCATTTGTATCATTCAGTAAGTCAGCACACAACAACATGACTGCAGGTGATTTATTGACTAAATGGCTCTAGCACAATTTCTTTCTAAATAATTTGCGTCATCTGACGTAGAAAACCTCTCTATAATATGCACAGGAATACAGCAGTTTATCGTTCTGAATGACACACACAATAGTTAAAGGCTGCAAAGCGATAAAAAAGGCACTTGATGGTTGATACGTAACACGTTGTCAATACAAAAAAAGCACAAAAAGTGAGCTGTTGGCTCAAATATATATATAGCTTTCTAAGAGCAGGATATTGGAGTGTTGCATTTCTTCCGATTAGAGTCCAGGAGATTGGTGCATCTGGTATGTAGTCTCTGAAGAAGAGCCATTATGTTTGGAAATGCCATAAGATTATGCATATATCGGTGATATCCATAAACAGGAATGCTCAAAACCTTTGGCACACATGCGCTTTGCTCACTAGCTTGCGGAAACCACCAAAATGGCCACAGAGCTTTAAATAACACAGCATATACGAACAAAGGCTCTAAATGAATCTGGCCATATAATATTGCAGGATCCATTAGCACTAACGCAGAGCGTTTTTATGGTATCACAGGCCTTTCCTTAATTAGAACTACCTGTCTGATTAGAACAGATGAATGTGGCGTATTTAGTACTGAAGCCATGTAGAGACCATTGCTTGGGTCAGGATGAAATGCATGCAATCAGTGCTAATGTATTTCAGTGTAGCTGCCAGGGGCGTTTTATTCCTCTGTGGTTTGCCATTACCTTAAGTACCCTGGCACAGCAAATCAGGCAGAGCAAAAAAGTAGGCTGCACAGCATCTAGAGGATTGAGGGGCCACTTTAAGATCCTGTCTGAGTAGATCACATGCTCAATGCTTTAGCCTACAAAATGGATTGTATGGATCAGAATACAACTAGATTGCTTCACTTATTACATGGGAAATGCTTTGTCCATATTTGTGACAAGAGTGGATAGAATTTTGGATGATAAATATGCATCAGAGTGCAGATGAGATGAGCAAATCTCACAAAAAAAAAAATCACATTTTACAATAAAATTAAATCAAGAAAAATATTTTTCAGTTTTTTTTTTTTTTTAGAGTGACAATATTTTCATGCTAATTACATTTTATTTTTTGTAATTCCCTTTATTTTTTTTTATTGGTGATATTTTATGATATATATTTTATATTTTTTTATGTTATATATAATCATTTTACTGTATTAAAATCAGCATAAAGGCAGTACAACAAATACTATTATGACGTATAAATCCACATTTTTATTTATTTTTGCATTAGAGTAATTAGAATGGCATTTGGAGGGAAAATGTGCTCAGCTGTCAAGGAAATAGTCACAAAAAAAATCATATTCTTACATAAAGTTAAGCCATATTCTTTATGCAATATAAAATGTGGTGTAATGTGAACACGACATGTTTTGTGAGATTCACTCAGATGCCAAATTGACGAATACGAATATCTAAAAAGTGAAATTAAAGTGAGCAGTATAAGAGCGTACTATGTTCTTTGGATTGACGAATACTGCAGGTGTACTTTTGGAGGTGGAGTGGGATGAGGAGGGACAGCTAAAATACTTCATCCAAATAGCTTGTTATCCATTCCGACATCTGGCATCGGTGGTTGTAACAGTTCACAAGCTGTTTCCAGTTGAATGACTGGCATCGTAACACAGCAAAACTGAGGCCAGTCTGTCGGCTTACTATAGCAAGCTACCAAAAATTCAGGTCCGTGCTTTGCTGAATGACACATACTTAGTAAATGCTGATCGAAGCTGCTATATCAGCCAGCAGAGCTACTATATCCATCACTCTGTCAGTCAGCCATATGTTACAGGCTTCAAGTAAAGTACTTGGTCTTGTTTGGCATAGCTATAGACCTCCCACCCAGTCTCCGTTCCGGCCCCTCCTTGACGAACGGCGGAGCCTCACACCGGAGAGAAAGCGTGACTTTTACATAGTGGCTTGTCCTTCTTTTGAAAGAACGTCTTCCCCTCCAGATTGATTTGACAGATCTGAGGAGATTAAAAAAAAGGAGGATTAAACAGTATCATCAATCATGACTGTTTAACAGCACTTTTCTACAGCTGTGATTCATCATTTGCTACTTGCTAGAAGCCAATAATATTAGGGGGAGAAACATAAGCATTCCAGAGAGCATTTATAATTGGATACAAGTTTGGAGTGCAGGATGTGCCATTAACAGTTTTATATTTTTTATTTTTTGAATGAAATGGATACTTTCATTCAGCAAGGAATTGAGTGACACTAATGACATTTATGGTTTTTATTATATATTTGAATGTGATAATTCCATTTTGAATAAATGCTGTTCTTTTGCAATTTCTCTTCATTAAACAATCATGAAAAATAGTATCACTGGTTCCACAAAAGTACGATGCAGCACAACTGTTTTAAAGTGACACTGAAGACTGGAGTAATGGCTGCTGAAAACTTGGCTTTGTCATCACAGGAATAAAAGACATTTTAAAATATATTAAAATATATTTAAACCATAATAATGTCCAACAATATTAGTGTTTTTACTGTATTTTTGATCAGATACATGCAGCCTTAGTGAGCATAAGCTTTCAAAAACATAAAAAAATATATTACCAACACAAGCCTTTGAATGGTAGTGAATGCCTGTATTAATCTGTCATGTGAATATAATTTATGGGGTATATTCACTGTTAATATCAGTGCATGTCAAAATGAAAGTAATTGCTATCTGACACAGACTGCCAAGCTCTCAAAGAAGAGCTCCATTTTTGGAGACATAAAGATTAAAGAGGTGAACTTAAATCAGTAGACAGGCGAGTAAAAGTACCACATAATTTAGCTATTTATTGTGTTCTTGTGTGCCGTTACGAGGGGCATGAATGAAAATGAATGAACTGCTTAAATTCATAAAAAATTAAATAAATGACAAGAGCTTATCCAGCATTTCCATAAGACAAAATAAAACAGATGTCTTCGTTTATCTGGATTATAAATAAGAAAGAAGAATATTCTAAAAGCTGTGAACCACATTAATTAAAGGCATTAATCCAGAGCATGCAAACATGGCCAGTGTATGAATTTTGAAGGGAAATGTCTAGGTTCTCAGGAGCTATGGGACCATTTCTTGATAGTGTTGTGTGGTGCAGAAAGTTTAAGATGGAGTTTCGGGACAGGTCCCAATGCATCAAAATGACTTACGGCACAGACAAAGCAAGTGTCATGCCAGCTGTAGCCCAGCGCCTCAAGGAAACGGTCTCCTGCATCAATCTTGAAGTCACAGCCATGGCATTTGGTACCAAACATCTTTTCATAGTCTGCAGAGAAAAACAAGTCAACCAAAACGGGCCTATTAAGACAGCGAGAAGGAAATGCTTGTTCAGAAACGAAGAGAACGAGACAAGAAAGAAACGGGTTATCGGAAGGAAAAAGAAAAGGGATTATATTTTCTCAGCCCTCACATGCTCGGTGTGTGATAACAGACACTGTTCCAGATTCTTGCATCGATTGCCCTAGTTTTACCCATTACGGAAAACTTAAAACTGGCAGGCTTTACGTCCTGTACGCAAGGTAAGTAGTTTAGAGCACAATCCTTTTAAGGTGCTGAGACTGCAGCAATTTTATCAACACTAGCTCTTCATTTCTAACAGAAACAGCTGCCCACTCGCTGCTGACACAAGACCAAAACTCTTCAAATCTGTAAAGCACCGGAACTGCGATGCAAGCCTATTTACATAATAAAGACATGCACTCCCTTCAGATAGCTTAATGTCTGTTTATGTAAGATTAGGGGCCCAACAAATGTGACAATGTGATTAAGTACACTGCATAAATATAAATTAAACACAGAAGGTGGCTGAATTTAACAACTTTTTACCACTCAGGAACTAAATGAATGAACAAGAACAGCTTAACATGGCAAATTTCATGACTGAATTCAAATCAATTTAATCTGATCCACAACGGTTCTGAACCCCTTCTCCCACCTGTTTGCTAACCTCTGACTAATTGGTCCAATAAAAGTGTCAAAATATCCAAAATAAAAGAACTGCGGTAAGGGCCGTGGCCTAGTCTGTAGCACACAAATTCTGACACTTAGAGCTGTGGAGCTCATGTTTGCAAAACTGGTTTGAATCTAATGCTTCTCATTCTTCTTCCCAATAATTTCTTTTTCTAAAGCTCACTAGTCCATTAAATGAAAGTGGCAAAAAGAAAATAAACACTGGCAAAACAGGTTTCAATCTAATGTTTCCCACTCCTCCCAATAACTTCTTATCATAATTCTCACTAGTCTCACTAGCAAAAAGAAAAGAAAAAAACAAATAAAATTAAATGTTTGCAAAACAGGTTTGAATCCAATGCTTCCCACTCCTCCTTCCAACAATTTCCTGTCATAAACCTCACTATTACCATAAATAAAAAGTGTTAAGTTAAGTAAAAAAAAAAAAAATGTTGGCGCCGATAAGCCTCGACATATAACGCTGTTGTGTTACGGGCGTCCTGAGTCATATGGAAAAAAAATTAAAATAAATGAAATAAAATAAAATAAAATGCATGTTCAAAGCAGGCTTGCAATGTTCTTGATGTCTTATCATTAAATTGTATTTCTTATCATTCCTATAAATGTAAGTGTCAAATAGGTTAGTAAAAAGTGGACTTTGAGGTGGGGTGCTTGTATAGTCAACATGAGTTTGAATCTGTCTTATGATTTCAATCTAATTTGAATAAACAAAAAAGTGAAAAAAAGAAAAGAACCGTATTTATGGTTTCATTGAGCACTTTCTACCAATGGCGTATTTGAAGTAGATTCTCAAGCATAAAAGTTCTCAGCAAAGCTCCTAATCAATGTGCAGGGCCGGTATGGAGCAGGTTTGATGTCTGAAGTGAAGTGGCAGCATTTGAATGATTAAACACTGCAGGAGCCCGCGCTTGGCTCTCGGCAGGGGCTGTCGATAATATGTGCGGCCAGGCGTGCGAGAGGGGCCGCGGTCGCTCACCTCTCTCGCAGTAGGGCTCTCCCTCCTCCATGTAGAAGGCCTGGTTCCTGATGGGCATTTTGCAGGCAGCACACAGGAAGCACTGTACGTGGTAGGTCATCTTCAGGGCGTGCATGATTTCCTGCGGAGAGGACAGAGGGGTGTGAGGGAGCCATGAATTCACACTTTGAAAATCAGTCCACTCTCACTTTTAAACTCTCATTCACACAAACACACTTTACACACTTAATACAATCAGAATCAATATACAGCTTTTGTTTGTTTTGAGGTCATTTTGACGTACAGTCATATTATTTATGTTATTTATGTATATATAGTACTGTCGTAAAATTACCTTACATTGTATTTTGTTTCCCAGTTTTTGTATTATATTTAATGCATTATATTGATTAAATCCTAGCAACGCTTAATAATCATTTCTGTCAAGCCATTAATAAATATCAAATAATGCTTAACAAATCAGTTAATATTAATATTTACAACAATATATGACACATGAAACAGTTTGCATATATATGCACACACACACGTGTCTGTATGTGTGTGTATACAAGTTAAATTCATATATCATCATATGGCCCTTAAGCTGAATTTATTTGATTAAACAGTAGAATTTTATAGTATTATAAAGTTTTATGATTACCATTTATATATATTTTAAAAAATATTTATTTCTGTGATGGCAAAGCTGAATTTTCAGCAGCCATTACTCCAGTTTTCAATGTTACATGATAATATGTTGATGCTAAAGACATTTCTTAGTATTATCAATGTTAAAAACACGTGCTGCTTAAAATTGTTGTGAAAAACAATAATACATTTGTTCAGGGTTCTTTAAAGGGGTCATATGATGCTGCTAAAAAGAACATTATTTTGTGTATTTGGTGTAATGAAATGTGTTTATGCGGTTTAAGGTTCAAAAAACATTATTTTCCACATACTGTACATTATTATTTCTCCTCTATGCCCCGCCTTTCTGAAACGCGTCGATTTTTACAAAACTAATCGGTCTGAAAAGCGAGGTGTGCTCTGATTAACCAACTATCCAG